ATAGGACCCCCCCCCCCCCCCCCGCTACTTGCTCACTGGCTGCAGGGTTTCAGGGACCCACTGGCCAGGGACTCAGCCTCTGGGTGGGGTCCCGCTCCCCGGGAGTCTCGCTCAGGTGGCCGCTCAGGCTGTGCTCTCCCGTCTCTGTCCTAGCCTGGTGCTGCTGGTCCTCCTTAACGTGATGCTTTTCTACAAGCTCTGGACGCTGGAGTACACCACCCAGACCCTCACTGCCTGGCAGGGCCTGAGGCTCCAAGAAAGGTAATCCTCCCCTCGCCGCCACCCTCGCCTGCCCCGGACCCTGCCCTCGCTCCTGCCTCCGGTCCCCGTGGGAACCCCCTGCCCTCTGTGACGGGCCCATCAGCCAGCTCCGAAAACTGGCCGTAAAGTTTGCACGGGCCCCGGGGCAGGAGCGGAGGGCAGAACGCTCTGATGTGCCTCTTTGTCCTTTAGGGGTCTGGGAGCACAGGACAGTCCACTGAGCATAACTCCAGCTGCTGGGGGACCCCTTCTTCCACCCCACAGGTTACCCCAGTCGCAGACAGAGTGGGCCCAGCTCTTAGAGTCCCAACAAAAGTACCACGATACTGAGCTCCAGAAGTGGAGAGAGATCATCAAATCCTCGGTGATGCTCCTCGACCAGGTGAGGCCCTCTCCTCCTTGCCCTCGTCTCCTGGAGACAGACTCCTTCCTGTGTCCTGAGAAGGTCGCCGTGCCGTCACCCCCACCGGCCGCATCCTCCCACCCAGGCCTTTCGTAGGCCATCCTTGTTAAAGGCATCTCTGAGTGAGCTGGTAGAAGCAACTCTGGAGGTGCAACAGGAAAGCTGTAGGTCAGGTGAAAGGAGGCTCTGTGTTTGGCCACCCGTTGCCATCTGATAACCCCTTTCATCTTCCCGGGCAGCGTGTCCGCCCAGCTCTCCTTGAACACGCACTCCCAGGACACGCACACAGACACAGCCTCCCAGGGCACCCGCCGAGGCTGCCCTGACCGTCTGGGAAGAGGGCTGTCCCTGTCTTCTCCAGGCATCTTCTCCCCAGTACAGCTGCTGTCTTCCTTCTAAACTTTAGCTGCATCTAGTATGTGTTTAGAGGCTCGTGGTCATCTTTGGAGCCACGTTTAAGAAGGGAGTTTTTCTAACCACAAGAGGGCAAACAGTGTAGGAGGCGTCCAGCAGCCCCGTCGCATCAGGAAGGGCTGATGGAGTTGAAGATACTCTCAGGACCGGGGAAGACGGATGAGAGCAGGGTAGTCCGCAGATGCTGAGGCCAACAGGGTAGCCTGCTGTACGCTCCAGAGGCCTGGCCTGGGGCTGGAAGTCGGAGGGCATTGGCTTTTTGAGTTGTCATAGAAACACACTGCTCATGATTAGAACTACTCGGTGAGGGAATGGCTGCTCTGGACTGAGATTCCTCCACCTGGAAGGGCTGTTGGGGGTGGGGGTGATGGGTAAGGAACTTATGAATTACTAGAGGCCCAGTGCATGAAATTTGTGCACACTGGGGGGAGAGGGGGCATCCCTCAGCCCGGCCTGCACCCTCTCGCAGTCTGGGAGCCCTGCGGTCGATCGCCCTGCAGAGGGAGGCCCCACCCACCTGCTGCAGAGCTGCTGGCCCGGGAGCCTGGGCCACCCTCTGCGGGGCGATCATGGGGTGACGGCAGGCCCCCCACCCAATCACATCGCACCCACTTGGCTGGCCTGGCGCCAGTGCATGTCATAGCGTGGTCCTCCGGACGGTCGTTCTGCTGTTCGGCCATTTGGTTGATTTGCATATTATGCCTTATTATTACAGATTATTATAGACATGAGGGGGGATGACCCCATTCTCTTCCAATCCTAGAATTCTATTTCAGGATGGGTCCCCTTAAGTTGGAGTGTGGAACAGTCAGATTTACAGCATGGTGGAATGTGTTGGGATAGGTGTTTTGTTTCATTACCTTTAAAAGTAACTTATAAGAGAACTAGTGTCCCAGTGCACGAAAATTGTGCACCAGGGGGGTCCCTCAGCCCAGCCTGCACACTCTCCAATCGGGGACCCCCTGTGGGATCAGGCCTAAACCGGCAGTTGGACATCCCTCTCACAATTTGGGACCACTGGCTCCTAACCGCTCACCTGCCTGCCTGCCTGATTGCCCCTAACCCCTCTGCCTGCCTGCCTGCCTGATCACCCCTAACTGCCCTCCCCTGCCATCCTGATCTCACTCCCAACTGCCCTCCCCTGCCAGCCTGATTTTGCCCCCGACTGCCCTCCCCTGCCGGCCTGATCGCCCCTAACTGCCTCTGCCTCGGCCCCCACCACCATGGCCTTGTCCAGAAGGAAGTCGGATGTCCGGAAGATGGCCAGTAGACCTGGTCTAGTTAGCATATTACCCTTTTATTAGTATAGATAGATTATATAGGATAGGATCGCTTAAATGGTGGGGGGGGGAGCCTTTTTCAGCAGGAGGAGATGCTCTTGGCAGACAAAAATACATAATCCCTATATCTGGACTGATAGCCAGCCATATGCACTATACTGCCAAACCGGTCATTAAAACAGCTGATTGCCCCTAACCCCTTTGCCTTACACCAAACAGCTGTTGCCCTTAAAACACCCTCCTCAGCCCCCACCTTAGGTTCTCCCTTCGCAGTTCACCCAGATTAGGTTCTGATTGGTCAGTTTCTATGCCAGTCAGTGTCAAAAGCTCCTCCTTCTAGGCAGCCATTGGCTCCTCGCACTTCACCCAGATTAGGTTCTGATTGGTCAGTTTCTATGCCAGTCAGTGTCTCCGGGCCTATCTCCAGGCCCAGGCCTTATTAGAGAGGCAGAGCTGATCAGCAGCCCCCCACCCCCACCCCCCCAGCAGAAACAGGCACGGCTGCTGGTGAAGCCCGGAGAGAAAGAGAGAGGCAATGGCTGATCAACAGCTGCCACGGAGGCTGCGGATCAGACCCTGCCTCTCTCTTTGGGCCTCTCTCTGGGCCTGATCCCCTCGGCAGTCAATGCTGGGTCACCGCACCTGCAGCAGCGGCAGTCAGTGCTGGGTCGCCACGGCAACCCAGCACTGACTGCAGAACTGACTTCTGGTCGGTCGAGCCTTCGGTTGTTATGGACCCTTGGTTTTTATATATCAGGATAGTAATGGGCCCTCAATTCCATTAAGCAGAGGATACAGAAGAACCAGAGAAGAATATGGTCAATTAGGCAGAGAAGCCAGAGGTTCTCAAAACCTAGAGCCACGCGCCCATGAAATGTGAACTCTGGTGTTGTGACAGAGCAGCTTGCTGAAATAGAACGTGAGCATGTTGTGGTGTGAAGGCGGCTTTAAGGCTCTGCCGCTGGAACCGCCCATTCAGACTGTCACAGCCTAACAGAGGGAGCGTGTCTGTATCCTGAAGGAGGCTAGGGGTCCCGTGAAGGTCAAGTCAATGCCACAGATACAGCTCGGAGCCGCCTCAGTGCTCTGCGTGGCACGGGGGTAAGGATAGGAGACATTGCGGTCCCGGCACACAGGAGACCACGCCACCAAAGATGGCTGCAGCCCCAGGCCAGTGAGTGGTGAGAGGGACCTGGGACAGAGAGGATTGAGCCAGAGGAGGTTTGGGTTTGTTCTGGGCCCGCACAGATGGGAGAGACTGGGGCGGGTAAGAAGGGCGAGTGCAGGCGGGGGGAGCGCTGGCAGGATGCACGCTACAGGGATGTCACAGGGTAGTGGGGACGCCGAGTGGAAGGAGTAAGAGGCCACAGAAGTGGCAGCAAAGTGGCTCCTGGCAGCACTTGAATGCTTTGAGTGAGTTCTTAAAATTCAAGATGCGGTGATGCGGCGACATGTGCGGCGGTCCCCGTGCCGATTGGCTGCGCCCTATCTGCCTGAGGCTGTCCCTGAATATTGCCCCTGACTTAGGAGCCCAGCTCCCTGTCGCTCCCTGGCATGGCGGGGTTCCCGCTGTGGGCGGACATGGCGGGGTCCCCGCTGTGTGGCACCCCACTGAGGGCACACCCGGCTGGGGGTCCCTGTCTTGCAGATGAAGGACTCCCTCATCAACCTTCAGAACGGCATCAGGTCCCGAGACTACACATCTGAACGCGAAGAGAAGAGGAGCCGCTACCACTGACCAGGCAGGAGCAGGGCTGCCGGAGGCCTGTGCAATACGTGTACATAGACCTATAAATATATATATATATAAATATATATATACAGAGTATAAATATATATTATATACAGATTTTAAAGAGACACCGCCTATGTACCAGGGAGGAGCTGGCCCGCCTCCTGTGTGGCCGGTGGCGGCCGAGGGGCAGGGACCACCTCCACCACCGCCGACCCTCTGTCCTCCGTCCTCCGTCCTCCAGCCCCCGTGCCCTTGCTGGCCGTTCTGGGCTCTGAGAAGGGAAGTGTTGTTGAGCCCAAGTGATGCCTGCGAAGAGAAGTCCCAGGGGCATGGCTTACGGTGCTTCGTTCCCTCATCCCCTTTTGATTTGTTTCCAAAATTAAAGGGACTCTTCTTCCCTGCCCCACGCTTCCGCAGGCGTTCCCTTGGGAATGAGGAAGCATCAAAGACAGCAGCGCCATCTAAGCTCTCCCTGTGAGCCCCCGCCCCCCATGGACTGCAGGCCCCGTCAGTGAGAGGGCTGCTGGGCAGCCTGCAGGCTGTGCCTGTGGCTTGGATTTCGTGTCTGCGGGCTCCGGAGGCCTTGCGTTCGGAAGGATGCTCTCCTCCATCACCCGCACTGCCTCCAGCTGTGCAGGGTGTGCACCCAATAAGGGCTGGGAACGCCCTCTCTCCCCCCCAACCCCCCCGCCCGTCTCCCCGCGCTTCTCCCAGGCTGGGTCTGGGAGAAGTGTCCCTTTTTAGTGCCTAAAACCCTCGTTTTCCTCTGTGCCCCAGAGCACATTGCCCTCGGCCGGGGTGGAGTTTCGTCTGGTTAAGTCAGTTTTCATGGTTCAAGCACGTCAGGTCTGTGGCTCTGTCCTTCCCTTCGCGCTGTCAGTTTTCTGTCCGGGAGAGTCGGGGTGTTGTCGGACCTCGGTGTGAGGGGCGAGGGCCCGGCCTGCAGGTTGCAGGCCTCGGCAGAGATGCCGCGTGATGGAGAGCACCCGTGCCAGCGGCCTCTGCTGCCCGTGGACACCCCGCGTGCTCAGGGAGACAGCGTCTGAGGCGCCTGGCACGTGAAGACGGACGCCCTGGGAGGGAACCGGTTTGGCAGAGGCGCGTGCATCTGGGCGTGAAAAGCCTGATGGAGTCTCTCCGCCCAAGGGGCCGCCCCATGCCGTTCTCCTTCCCTGGTGTCTGTCCCAGGGGGCTGCTGTCACCGGGAGTGGAGAGGAGGCCCCGGGCCAGGACCGTCCGTGCTCCGGGCCTTTTCGGGGAGGACCGTGCACGTGCCTGACTGGGACCCACCTGGACACGCCTGTCGCCCCTCATGCACTAACTGCTACTTCTCCACCAACAAGGGCCCCGCCAGCCCAGGGAGGGCGCAGCGCGTGGGCCACAGCCGGGCAAGGAGGGCTCTCCAGGGCTGTGGAGGCGCCCCGCGTGCCGGGCCCCGGAAAGGAAGACTGTCCCCATCCGCCCAGAAGGCAGCTCGTGTCCCTCTCCCGCAATGGCCTGAGCATCTCACCCGACAATGAAAGGTGGCTGGCTTCTCATCCTGAGACCATAGCCTTGTCATCAGGCACAGGCAGGATGAGAAGACGGAGCTGTGCGAGCCCAGGTCACCCCCGGGGGAGCAGGAGAAGGCGGCGTGGGACCCACCTCCCTTAGGCGTCCGTGGAGGGTCACAGGCCAGGGGCCACTGGTCACTCTTGCCCAGGACTGAACGGGACACCTGTGAGCAGCGCGACTGCTGCAAACTGTCCACCGGGGTAGCCAGAGACCAATCAGTCCCAGAAACTTAAAAGCAAAGGTGGTAAATCTCGAATTTGTCCCACGCACGTTTGGTTTGTCCTTAAACCTTGCCGTTACGAGGGTTCCTGGGGCCCTTTCGTAGGACGCAGCGGGGTCTTGGCTGGGCCGGTGCTGGCAGGGCCTGGCTACACAGCCCTGTGCGCTCCTACTTCTCAGGCCGTCCCGGGAAGAGCGGTGACGGAGGGAGCGAGGCTTGCTGGGGATTGGAACCCAGGACCCAGAGTGGGCACACCACCATCTCTCGTGGGTGCTCTCTGTTCTAACGGTTTCTGATTTTAAACCGCGAGAAAACCAACCGCTCTGCCCAGTCTCGCTCAGTAACCAGTGAAGAGAAGGCACCACCGTGCAGGCGGTCTGGGCAAGAAACGCAGCAGCACTGGCACCGGCCAGCAGCCCGGCTCGGAGCCTGAAGGGCACATGGGAACATCACCTCGCGCGTTCTCTCCCCGACTGCTGGCCCGACTGCTCCGCCTGTCTGCTAGGATCCAGCGGCAAACATCTGAGAGCCGTGCTCACCGTCAAAGGTTTCGCGACGTTCGTAGAGTCTGCACCTCCCTCCAGCTTACGTGGAGGAGCTCACAAGATCGGCCTTGGAGAAGCCAGTCCTGTCTGCAGCTCCTCGCCTTTCCTGCCGGCCGCCCTGGGAAAGAGGACCACCTCCCGGCCAGCAGGATGGGCAGTGTGGAGTCTCTGAAGGCCACTGAGCTGAGAGCCGGGAGGCCGGGCTGAGTCCTGGCTCTGCCTCTCTGAGCTTCGGTGTCCCGGGGACAGGGCTGGCCTAGACCGCCGCTGAGGGGGCTCTGCTTTGGCACTGTCAGGAGGGACATCGGAGGCTGGCGAGGCTGGGCGTTCTTGGACTTGGAAGGGTCCTTTCGGGGTAGAGCCCCCCTGGTGTTCAGGGGAGCAGCAGGGCAGTGTCTGGGCTCTGGGAAACCCAGGGTAGCTGAGCTTCCTTTCTGATGAGCTGGGCGGATTAGGGAGACTGGGGGGGCAGGGAGGCAGAGCGCAGAGGCTCCCGCAAGCTCAGTGTTACCCTCAGTGGAGTTGCTTCCTTTGTTGGCACCTTCCTCCTCCTCGCTGGAGGACACAGTGGAGAGAAGCCATTCGGTTCTTGCACTTCTCTTGGCTCATCCCAAACCCTGTTGGGGCGGATTAGGTGTGAAGCTTTGGCAAAGAGCCATGGGTGCCCGGGCACTGACACTAGGCACCTGGGAGACAGGAGGGGCCGAGGGACCTGGGGCAGCGCTCGCCAGAAGCGGATCCTCTCCAGGCCCGGCCCGACCCGGCCCGGCCCAAGCTTAGACCAGGCCTGAGCACTCGCCGCAGCACCTCCAGGCTGGAATCTTGCAGAAAGACGAGGGGAAGAGTCTCTGGGCCGGGTGGTCTCAGAAGGGTCCTTTCTGTGCTGTACCAGGCGCTGCTGTGGCTCTGCAAGGCAGCAAAAAGCCCGTCCTTCCCCCCAACCCCCCGAAGAAATAGCTCTCCTCTGGTCCCCCAGGTGGCGGGCTGTGGTCTCGCTCCCCACTCCCCAACACTCTGCCCCTACCTGTCTCCAGTTCAGATCCTGAGCACCTCTCTCCCCAGCGCGCTCCTCCCCACCCCTCACCTCTGGGCTGTGGGACTGTCATGCCATCCACCACTGGACATCTTGACCTCATTCCCAACCTGCCGCAGGCTGGTCCCACTCTCCACTCTTGTTTTCTCCCAGAAGATGCGCCTCAGGTCCAAGCAGCGTTTCTCTGGAAGGCCATCTCTCCCGCCCCTGCTTTCCTGAGGGAGCAGGTATGTGCACAGGTGTAGCAAGCTCCCTTCCCACCTCTGCCCAGCCTCCTTACCTCACTGCTGCCCCGGCTGTGGCTGAGGGCCGGCCAGCTCCCCGGTTGGTGTTCTGTGGGACAGTCAGGGGCGTGGGCGCTGCTTTCTGTGTGACTTGAGGCCTCGGCAGGCCTGGGAGGCGGAGGGAGCCATGGCTGATGGTGAGAGGAGCTGGTGCCAGGTGATCGCCGACAAGTGGAGGCCTAGAGAGCATGGCTGTCTGCCCTGGGCCCTCCTTGCCCCTGAGCACGGTGAGACCCTGCAAAAGCCAGCTGGCGGCCACTGCTCCAGGCAGGACAGCACGGTGTCGGGAGTGGGCCCTGGCGTAGGGCCACGTGCTGAGATTGTGTAGTAAAAGCAACTTTTTGCCAACAGTGGTGTGTGGCTCCATGCATTTTTCTTCCCACACTCTAGGGCCAGACTGCTCTGCATGGACCTGGTCATCTTCCCAAACCCATGGTGCTTCCCCCCACCCCACCCCACCCCAGCTTCCAGGACCCCACTCAACCTAGATCCCAGGCGGGAGGGATAGGCAGAGGCTGTGGCCCCGGACCATACTGACACGGGGTGCAGTGGGGCAAGGGAGAGGGAGGAGCCAGCACCGCGCTGGGCCAGGTCGGGGAAGGCCAGGGCGCTGGCAGCCGAGTTGTCTGGCCGCCTGTACTTGGGTCTGTGACTGTACTTTGCCTGGCGCTGTGCGCAAGGTCCGAAAACTTACTGCTCGTACCTGGAAACATACAAGGCTGCCCAGCCGAACCTTACTGTAAAGTAGCTAGAGCCATGGACGTACTGTATGAATTAAAAAGTATTGAACTACAAACACTAAATGCCGTGTGTGCGTATTGCTTGCTTCAGTCGTGCTCAATGTCCCAAATGGTTTTGGTCTTCCCAGAGGTGGTCAGGCCCAGATCTGTGTGCGGGCAACATGCACATATCACACTTACACACAGGCACAGCCATCCACCCGGCTTCTGGGACTTGCTTCCCAGGGTAGGGAGGCGCCTGATGCGGTGGAATAGGAAGTTTGGGAATCAGACCTGAGTACAAATGGCATTATCCCTGCTTGCCAGCTGTGTCACCTTGGGCCCGTCATCACTCCGAGCCTCGGGTTTTTAGAGATAATATATGTGTGTGTGTGAGTATAGTGGCTGGTACCGTACTAAGAACATTTTTTATCTCCCTGTGAAGCAGTACTTTGAGATGCAGGAGACAGTGGTGGACTGAATCCTGATGACAATTTCTTGAGCGTTTCCCTTTTGGGGCCTTGGCGCCTCCAGGAAGATGGGCACTGGGCGGCGGCTGGTCACTGTTGCCTTGCTAGGTACACGTGGGGAGTGCGGCCCGCCCTCACTGGGTCCTCCTCGCACTTAGCCCTCTGCCACCTGACAGGAAGCTTATTTGACGTCAGGCAGGTGAGGACACACGTGGCTTGGA